TTAGAAAGTTTGTTTTATTTACTCGACTTGGTACAACCACAAGAGTTATTTCAAATAAAATAGTATTTACTTTTTTTAACAATAAAGAAATAGTTGTTTAAAGATTTGATTTTTATGGTTTAGTTATCATTTTTCAATCATAAAACAAATAACGAGTATTATCAAGGTGAGTTCGTTAATTTTTTTTTTATACTTGTTACTTTCTTTGTATTTGCAAGTAGAAAAACTCAATGACTTGATACTTGACTTGACAACAACGAGTACTTGAAAATACGAGACGAGTACGAGTCAAGTAACGAGTATAAGACAAATAATGAGTATTCGTGCCCAGCCCTAGTTTTAATAGAATAGAAACCTACATAAAGTTTCTATTAATTTAAATCAATCATGTTTTATCTTTACTTTTACAGTTACAAAAAAAAAAAATTAAAGCAAACTTTTTTATTATGTATTTTAGGTAAAAACTCTACATATTTCTTTTATCAGCTGTAGAATTTGTAAAATCAAAACATCTATTTTAATAAAAAATAAATTAGATAATCATAATTAAAACATATATAGATATTTTAATCTAATTTTGGATTTTTTAAAATTATTGAAATATTTTAAATAACATAAATATTATTTTCATATCACATTTGAAATAAAAATAAACCTCGATAAATTATAAAAATATTAATATTATTATTTTAATTGAATAACTATTTTATATATATATATATATCACATATTTTAAAAATATATACAGCCTATAGTTTGTAGCTACAACAAATTTAACTATAGTAAAAAATTCTGCAAAAAAATCTACAGATACAATTTTACAGTTACAATCAACTTATCTATAACTTAATTTTTACACCTAAGTTTTTACAGGTACAATAGAACCATCATCACCAAAGTAAACTAATTAAGAACAGCATAATTAAATATTTTAGTGAAATATTATAGAGAAAGGAACTTTAGGTCTGATTGGCTGTCGAGGTAAGTAGCAGGATCAAAGGGATTTGATTCGATAAAAATGATTTTAAATAAAATCCTTAACAAATCAATAATTTGAGCAATATTAAACCATATACGAGTGAAGATAGAGAAGAACTAGACAGAGGGTGCTATAATGCAGTAGGGGAAATGCATGTGCACACAATCTACAGTAGATATTATTTCATAATTAATTTATTTATAATAAATCTCATACTCCCTCCACTATGTTCTGTCTTTTTGGTATTATCCTCTCTTAATTACTCATCAAATCACTTCTAATCTCAACATAATCCCTTATTTTGATACACTTCTCTGTCTTTAAGTTATACCAATCATTCAGTTCATAATTATGATTTAATCTTATGACGTTATGCGTATATGTACAATGTATAACCATATCATGTAAATTAACCATTCAATTAAATGATTAGCATTTACATATGCATATTTTTGGTAACCTTAACACATAAAACCTGCTTTTTGCCGTACCTTATAGTGGAAATTCGATGTACATGGGGAAATTAGTTATTCTTATGTCATGTATAAATTTGATATTGGGTGTTCAAAAAAGAAAAAAAAAATATAAATTTAGTATCAATCAAATTTCAGGTTATCGAATTTAATATATGTCAGTCCTTTGTTAAAAGTTTGATAAAAGTCAGGGTCATGACATAAAAATAACTATCGTCAGCATATGAACTAACAAGTGTCATGCAGTTAGTGGTCTATTCAAAAGTGACACCTCGTTGCTACACTATTATACTTGTCCTTTTTTCTTTGATAAAGGGTTTATTATTATACTTGTCCTCCCTCGAAATTAATTAAGGCGAAGACATGTTCGAGGTTCACATGATTCACGACATAGAGTTTAAACATTATATAGATAAAAAATTGTAGCCACACAAGCTGTATTAATTTTCTTTCGATCGTTACTGAACGTAGCATTGATAAGTCAACTAAAAGACCTAGGCTAGAGCTTTAACATTCATTCATTTCTAATTATTTAATTTACTTGACAATTGATTAATAGACCTTAAAAACAAAGTGTAGCTCTATATAGTAGGAGTTGGAAAATGATTGATATGATGACTATTGTTGACGGTACAAACTGGGATACAAACTTTTAATTTTCTAAGAACTATTGTAATGGTTTTGCTTTGTGCAAAATAAAACTGAAAATGATATAAAATAAATATATACTATATATCTAGATGTGTCTATTATTATATTTTATTTTATTTTGAAAATAATGTATATTATTTTTACCTCAATGATATGTGTATATATGGCGCCATGGTGGAATGTTCCAAAAATTAAAAAAAAAAGATCCATGGTGGTAATGTATTTTTGGCATGCTCTTAAACAGAACAAAAATCGGACATGGATTAGTTGCTATGCATTAACCAAAAAAAATCTTTTTAATTTAACTACTATGGAAAAAACACACGTTTAAGTGACACAGAAATCAATTTATAAATATATTGAACGACCAGAAAATTAGTTTTAATCAACTAATAGTTGTGTGTTTTCGCTTATATACCTATTATTCAATTCACTCTGTATTGCTCTTCTGGTAGTGGTCAAAACTCGGAAATATATATCTAATATATATATTCTATCCGTTTCATATTAAGCATTGTTGTAAGAAAAAAAAAATTCGTTATAAAATAAGTGTTATTTTCAATTTTCAATGCAAAATTTATTAATTTTATTTTGTAATTATTTTTCTATTGGTTAAAATGTGGTTAGATGTATATGTAGTTGTGTTTTTATATAAGAAATATGTAAAATTATTTTTTTCTTTAATCCATGTGAATAACTTTAAAATGATACTTATAGTGAAGCAAAATGATTATTTATTTTACATATCCAATATATTGGATATGACTGAATAGCATTTATATCGATAATTTATTAACCAGAAAAAAATTTCCACTCAGTTCCACTTATATTTGTCAATCAGGTGAAAACGTAATTGAACTTTTGACTTTTTCTTGTTTTTATTACTCTACTATCTTTCCTCTTAATTACTCCAATTTCATTACGCTTAGTTACTCTATAATTTACCAGTCACACACATTGAGTAAACCATCGTCTCTTACTTCGATGAATGAACTAAATAAGTGAATATTATTGTCTGTTTTGTTAGAAATTTAATGTTCAGATGTGTTAAATATTAAAGAATCTCATGATTTGATTTGATCAGAGGTTTGCGATTTCATGGGACAGTTTTAAAGTATTAGAAAAGTAATTTCCTTGCTCGTTAATGAATATATAAATTAAATAGTGCTCATTACTTGTTTCTTTTCTTTTTTGTCATCATCAACAACAAAAAAAAAAATAATTTGCAAATGGTAATGGGACTTTTTCAGTCTTGCATTTGCATAACAGACTGGGCTGACACAGCACCTAAAAACATATAAAAAATTAGAATATGAAAAAATGATAAGCCAGAATCGAATCCTGCATAAAACAGCTCAACGACAGTAGATGGTAACATCAGATCCAATATTGAACTTAAGCGTAATGTTATCAATACTAGTTTGATTTACTACTTTTCAAATGCCATCATTGACCATTACATTTACTTTAACAAAACAATTACCCAAAAAATATAAAATAATAATATTGGAATTACACCAAAATTATATTTTTTATTAATTTATAATAATTATTAATTTATCAATATATTAATTCAACCAAAACTCAATTTAAAACTATAAAATTATATTATTTTATAGAAAAGTTTAGTGTATATTAATTTATTGAGTATTAATTTAAAGAGGTTATACTGAAAAAATAATAATTCTAGTGTATCATAACCTTTCTTTGCTGTAAGTTAATTCCTATAAGTTTGACCTAAACTATTTGAAGTAATATAGTAAATATTAAAATATTTTTTGTTTAAGATTTTTCTGAAAAAAATAACTGAAAGAAAATTAATTGAATCTACACATATAAATATACATCTAATAAAATTCATTTGTATTTTGTCATTAATAAGTACATTTATTTTATTTTACGTTACATAATATTTTCCGTTGCATTAATAAGTACATTACGTCATTAATAATTATTGTCCGTTGCATTAACAAATGAGAAAACATATATACTAAGAATCACTATCGGTTTCTTAATATTCTTTGTAAAGATTTTCAGAATTTTTTTAATCTTAGTGTTACTTCTCTCTCTAAGATCTAGAGGTGTTTAATCCGAATCTGTCCAGTTTTGATTCATTTTTTAATTGCAAATAAAATTATTAGATAATTATATTAAAATTACATTTATTTTAGTTTTATTTGAAGTAGATAATTTCTGTTGTCAATGTATTTAGGTTTTAACCAAACCTACTTATACATTTAATTTTCTATTAGATCTTCAAATTTTAGTTATATAATTCACTAAAATACATGAAATAATAATATAATATTTTATTTCAAATATTTTATACGTGTAGTTATTAATATGAAAATATTAGCAATACAGAATACATTTTTTTTTAAATTGTAATTAATACCAATAATGTCAATTGTTATATACTATAATTACAATATAATTAATGTCGAAGTTTTTTATAAATTATTTTAATTACAGTATACTGTAATTTCTCGATTAGCTGAATAATTACAGTATAAGTAATGTCGAAGTCCTTTATGTTGGAAGTCATTCAAAGCCATAAATATTTAAGAATACTTAGGCTAATCATTTAGAGTATTTTATTGCACAATCATTCTAATTAATTAAACTGCAAATTAAATTAATTGAAAATAAAATAATTGAGAGTTGGAATATCAAAGTAAGAGCATAAAATCTATATATGTAACGTAATGTATTTGTGTGCGTGGCGTATCTATTGAAATCTGGACACAATCTGATCCAGCGATGCATTTTAGTTATACTAATGCTTTTAAATAAAAACTTAAAATAAATATTGTTTACTAAAGGCTTATAAAAAGAGAGATCACCAATTCACTATGAAAGAGATCTCTCGGATTCCTTAGCTCAAAGCAAACTAACAAGAAAGGTTCATCTCTCTCTCTCTCTAGAGACGACTTTCTCTCTCCAGTTCTTGATTTTCCAGCGTACGTCAAGACCCGATATTAAAACTAAATCTGATCAAAAGAAACATGGGAAGTAGTTTCTTCGGAAAACCAAACATGAGAGGATCTTCGCCGTCTTCATCGTCCCCAACATCGTCATCTTCATCCCCGGCGACTAGAAGAGGGAAGAAGAATGGTTCCGAGAAGCCAAAGCAGCCACAGAGAGGTCTCGGAGTAGCACAACTGGAGAAAATTAGATTACACGGCGAGATGAGTTGCAACAGCTTCGACAATTATAATTCGTCTTTGTATCCTCAGGTAACATTATACATATATATACATGCACTAACTATATAATCACGCTAGAGGCTATCGGCGCATGTTAAACATAAACATAGTGGTGTATACTGTATCGTACGTACGTGTCGTAACCCCTTTGTTCTCATCCGATTCTATCGGATCTATTATAGGAATCCGACCAACTATGAGTAAGTGTTCCCGTGAACTTGGGACGACTAATTATGTTTAGTTGTATGAAATCTGTAAGGATTTTTAAATTCTCTTCTGGTTGTATGGAATAATTTCCTTAGATTTCACCTAAATAATTACAATTAACACAAAGATTATTACTGAGAGAAAAACGTAAGGATTACAAACGTATATATCTTTACAAAAAATCATGCTCGATCTGGCCAAAAATCATTTATCTATCAATGTACTATATCTACCGATTATACGTTTATGTATCTACTATAAAAATTTAGTCAGTTGTAATCTTGATTACAATATAAAAATTTAGTCAGTTGTAATCTTGATTACAATATACTCATATAAGTTATTATTCTAGGTCGTTGAGTTCTCGAGGGCACTCTTCTCATTTCTTAATATATACTCAAAGAAAGTTACTTTTTTTTTCTTTTTTTTTTTTGCTAAAGGATACATGTTAAATAGTAATAGTTTGTATAATCTGTCGATCTGATTCAATCTCTTTCAAAATGATGTATATTAATTAGACTGTCCTATGTGAATGTGAATGTAAATGTAGGAGAATGTGAGGATGTCAGTAGAATATTCTTCCATACCATCATCATCACCATCCTTTACATATGCATCACCATCACCATCATCGACTCCTTATGGCCTTTATCCAAATATGATGGTATATATTTACTTTTAGTGCTCTATTTGTGTGCCAGTTATACATGATATTATATGTGTGTGTGTTGTATGCGTGTCTGTGTGTTTATAAATTACTTGAATTCATATTCTCCCTTGATCTAATTAATTACAAATCAAATATCACACCTTAACATATACAATCTTCTACAAGATGAGGGTAATCATGTCTCCATCTAAAGCAAAACTCTTTTCATAAATCATAAAACATCAAAAGAAAAAACGGAAAAGGAAAATTAAAAGAAAAATCTCAACTACTAATTGTTTTCTTCTTCTGTTATTGGCAGATGGGTGTACATAGAGATCAATACGAGAGAGCAACCATGAGGTATACATATAAAATCACTTTTTCAACAGTCCTTTTCAGATTTATGAATATGTTAGATATTTCGTTTGGTCCTAAAAAAATAATGACCTTTTATGTTTTGTTCCAAACAGTTGGAACCCAAGCTACGGCATCTTAGAGAGCCAACATTCTTCGGAATCAAACACCACCAGACATTTCTTTAACGAGGTTCTTATTCTATACCATCACACATGATAAAATTTTCATTGATCACATGATTATTAATCTGTGTAGTGTATTATTATTAACCTTCTCGTCACTCAATTTTTTTGGTTTATCTAAGTTTAGTTCAATGTAGTTATGTCATGGTCTAAATGTTGGTGATATAACTTTGTTAAAGTGTTATAGCTCTGGACCTCTGGTCTATTTGCAGCTAAGTGATTTAATCTAATGTTTTTGTGTTTGTTTTGTCATGAAATAGGATCCAAATTCTACAAGGCGAAGTAAATCGTTGGGAAACCAAAACTCGGGATCGAGTGACAATCAAGAGCTAGATTTGGAGTTGAGATTGTCACTTTGATCATTTGTAATAGTTTGATCTTCATGAAATTGAAAACAAGTCCCGCATCGTGATTATGCTTTTTTATATATTCTCTGTTGTTATGCTGAAAATAAAACTGAAGCAACAACAGCTGATTATGTTCTATTTGGGGGGTATCAAGTATTTTTTTTCTTAGGATTGTTTGACCGTTTCAGTAGAAAAGGGTTTAAAAAGAGGGAATCATTTGTAAACTTTAAAGAGCATAAAATGTTATTATAATCCATATATGGAAGAATGCTAGTATCTCCTTCTATGGGGTTTGATTCTCTCTAACACATTCATCCAAGCAAAAGAAACGTCTCGGAATTTATATACGTGGCATGTTGCATATTTTTGAAAACTGCCATTTATACATATAAACCCTCTTTATTTTACTTGTATAAATGATTTAAGCTTGTTCATGTTGTGACAGATGTAAGAAGATACAGATTAATAAAATAGATGAATAGAAAAGAAAGACACGGAGATTTAACGTGGTTTGCCCCTAACGGCTATGTCCACGGGCAAATAGAGTACTTTATTGATGGAGGCAAGTTTTTAGAGTACAACTCGTGTTTTACAGAATAGGGTAAAACCCTAAAGGTATATATAAGAAAGCCTTTAATGAAACTTTCCATATTTTCTCAGATTTGACAATATCGATCGATACACAAGCTCTTGTATCGATCGATACGTGTCCAGTCAGATCGACCGATGACGCCCCTTAGGGCCAGATTAACAGCTTGAGATGTTCAGCAATTCAAGACAATGCTTGAACTTGCTGTGAGGAACCGGCTTAGTGAACATATATGCAGGATTATCAGCTATTCCTACCTTCTTCACGTCAACCCTCTTCTCATCTCTCAGAAAATGGTATCTCACATCAATATGCTTGGTTCTCTCATGATGAACCTGATCCTTGGCTAAACAGATATCACTCAAGCTATCACAGAATACAGTAGCCTGATCATGATGAAGACCAAGATCACTGACCAATCCTCTCAACCATATTGCCTCCTTAGCAGCTTCTGTCAATGCCATATACTCTGCCTCAGTAGTAGACAAAGTCACTGTCGACTGCAAAGTCGCCTTCCAGCTCACAACAGAACCACCCAAAGTAAATACGTAACCAGTCATAGATCTCCTGCTGTCCACATCTACATAATCAGAATCAGAATACCCAGTAACCAGTCTTGGATCCTTGTCTCCATAGACAAGACCAACATCAGATGTACCCTTAAGGTACCGAAAAATCCTCTTCACAGCCATCTAGTGCTCCTTGCGTGGCTGAACCATAAACCTGCTCACCACACTCACTGCATGTGCAAGATCTGGTCTTGTACAGACCATAGCATACATCAGACTTCCTACAGCGCTAGCATATGGAACTCGTGACATATACTTAATTTCCCCTTCACACATTTCATCACTCATGGTAGGATGAAAATTTGTAGCACATGGAGTATCGATATGCTTAGCATTAAGCATATCAAATCTTGTCAAAACCTTTTCAATGTAGGCCTTCTGTGACAAGAACAGCTTCTTCTTCGCTCTATTCCTGAAAATCTCCATTCCTAGAATCTTCCTTGCAGCACCCAAATCTTTCATCTCAAACTCAGAACTCAGTAGCTCTTTCAGCTTCTGAATATCACACTTCTTCTTGGCAGCTATCAGCATGTCATCTACATACATCACCAAGTAGATATATGATCCATCCTCCACCTTGCTCATGTAGACACAACAATCATAAGGACTCTTGTCGTAGTCCAACTTGACCATATAGCTGTCAAACCTCTTGTACCACTGTCTAGGAGACTGCTTAAGTCCATAAAGTGACTTCCTCAACTTGCAAACATGATCTTCCTTACCAGGAACCAGAAAACCCTCAGGTTGAGTCATATAGATCTCCTCCTCAAGTGCTCCATGAAGAAAAGCAGTCTTCACATCAAGTTGCTCCAACTCCAGATCCTGACGTGCCACTATCGCCAATAGCACTCTGATAGAAGTGTGTCTGACCACAGGTGAGAAAATCTCATTGTAGTCCACGCCTTCTCTTTGACTGAAACCTCTAGCAACAACTCGACATTTGTACTTTGGCCCTTCTTCTGGTGATTGACCATCCTTTAACTTGTAAATCCATTTGCAAGTCACAACCTTTCTCCCATGTGGTAGTGTGACCAGATCCCATGTGTGATTCTTTTCATGAGATTCCATCTCATCTCCCATTGCAGCAAACCATTTCTCAGATGCATAACTTGAGATGGCTTCTCTGTAAGTAGACGGCTCGTAAGTGTCCACTTCCTCTGCGACTTGTAATGCATAATCCACCATATCTTCAAACCGATACTTCGCTGGTGGCCTGACATCAACTCTCCTTGGTCCATCTTTAGCAATACTGTGTTTTTCAGACCCAACAAGTTGACTCTCAGAATTTGACGTCTCGGGCTGCTCGTTTGTCAATGATCGATCGACCTTTTCTTCTGATATCGATCGATCCTGACCATCTGTCATCGATTGATACTGAGTGGCCGATGTCGATCGACACTGCTGACCCGTCATCGATCGACACGGTTGATCTGTCATCGATCGATACGGTTCATCCGGCTGCACTTCCTGCAACTCCACCTGCTTTTCAAAATCCCCCTGCTCTGCTTCTGAAAAAGACTCAGCCGAAAATTTGATCATAGAACTCTCATTAAACACAACATTTCTGCTCATGATCACTCGTTTCTCAGAAGGAGACCAAACTCTGTATCCCTTGACACCATCTCCATAGCCCATAAACACTCCCTTCTTAGCTCTTGGTTCCAGCTTTCCTTCATTAACATGATAGTAGACTGTGCAACCAAAGACTCTCAGAATAGAGTAATCAGCAGACCTACCTGACCACACCTCATTAGGTATTCGACACTCGATCCCAGTATGTGGTCCCAGATTGATCAAATAACAAGCCATGTTCACTGCCTCAGCCCAAAACCTCTTCTCTAAACCAGCATTTGAAAGCATGCACCTCGCTCTCTCCAGCAATGTCTGGTTCATTCTCTCTGCTACACCATTCTGCTGTGGTGTATGCCTGATTGTATGATGCCTAGCAATCCCTGCATCCTTACAAAACTGATTGAACTCTGATGAACAGAATTCTAGACCATTATCAGTACGAAGTCTCTTAATCTTCTTCTCCATTTGATTCTCCACCAGTATCTTCCACTCCTTAAAGCTGTTGAATGCTTCACTTTTATGTTTCATGAATGTTATCCAAGTCTTTCTTGAATAATCATCAATCATGGACACAAAATACCTGTGACCTTTTAGCGACTCCAACTTGGAGGGACCCCAACAATCCGAATGGATGTAATCCAGTGTGCCTTTTGTCTTGTGAACAACCTTAGGAAACTTCTTTCTATGTAGCTTCCCAAACACACAATGCTCACAGAACTCAAGACTCTTGGTCTTATGACCACAAAGAAGATCTTTCTTCGGTAAAATCTGCATCCCACGCTCACTCATATGTCCAAGCCTCATATGCCACAGCTTGTCCATATCTTCCTTGCGAACCTCTGGAGATGCAACATTTGTTGAACCTAAAGCTGTAGAGCCGTCCAGCAGATACAGAGTACCATGAATGAAACCTCTCAAAATCACAACTGAACCTCTGTAGACATTCAGAACTCCATCTCCACCTGAATACTTTTAACCTTTGCTATCCAAAAGACTAACTGAGATCAAGTTCTTGGACATGGACGGAACATGTCTAACTCCAGTCAATGTACAGATTCTACCCTCATGTGTCCTGAGCTTAATGGAACCGATTCCTGCAGTATCGCAGGCAAAGTCATTCACCATCTTGATCTTGCCATCAGTCACTCCCTCATACTCTGAGAACCATTCCCTCCTTGGACACATATGATATGACGCTCCTGTGTCTAGAACCCACACATCCCTAGAATGTGTTTTTACATGAGCAACTAGAGCAATATCGTCATCAGACTTAGCTTCATCCTCGGCTACCGCAGCGGAACCAGCTTGCTTCTTCTTCTTGGGGAAATCTGATTTCCAATGCCCTCTCTCTTTGCAATAATGGCAAATATCAGTTGGTTTAGGACCCTTTAAAAATGACTTTTTGTCTTTCGACCTTTTGCTTTTTCCAAAGTTCTTTCCACCACCTACAAACAACCCAGAAGCTTGGTCATCTGTACCAGAACTAGATGCCTTGTGACGCAACTCCCTGCTATGAGGTGCCGACCTGACTTCCTCCAAACTCACTGTATCCTTACTCCCTATGAATGACTTAACAAAGTTCTCATAGGAGTTAGGCAATGATACCAACAGAATCAGTGTTGCGTCTTCATCCTCCACCTTAACATCTATATTCCTCAGATCTAACATAATGGAATTTAGACTATCAAGGTGATCCTGAAGTTGTGTACCTTCCTGCATCCTCAGAGCGAAAAGACGTTGTTTCAGAAGTAGCTTCTTAGTCAGAGACTTTGTCATGTATAGACTCTCCAACTTCAACCACAAATCAGCTGCAGTATCAACACCAGAAACCTCGATGATGATCTCATCTGCCAGACACAACAAAATCGTTGAATACGCCTTCTCTTCAGTAACCTCCATCTCAGCAGTAACAGCTTCAACCTTCTTCCCTGACAACGGTGCCCAAAGACCTTGTTGCTTCAGCAACGCCTTCATCTTGATTTGCCAGAGACTGAAACTGTTCCTTCCAGTAAACTTTTCTATCTTCATATTCATCCCAGACATCTTCTCACCAGATTCAATCCGAAGCTCTGATACCAGTTTGTTGTGACAGATGTGAGAATATACAGATTAATAGAATAGATGAATAGAAAAGAAAGACACAAAGATTTAACGTGGTTCGCCCCTAACGGTTACGTCCACGGGCAAAGATAATACTTTATTGATGGAGGCAAGTTTTCAGAGTACATCTCGTGCTTTACAGAATAGGGTAAAACCCTAAAGGTATATATAAGAAAGCCTTTAATGAAACTTTCCATATTTTCTCAGATTTGACAATATCGATCGATACACAAGCTCTTGTATCGATCGATACGTGTCCAATCAGATCGACCGATACATGACACCTGTATAGACCGACGCAGATTCAAGGTCTATTGCAACAGTTCAAAAATATTGGTATGTGTGAACGAGAATTGTTGATTTTGTCCCCCAATGAAAGTTAGGAGACCGTTCTGACGTATATATATCTATACAAATGATAATGAAACTTGTTGATTTTGTCCTACATCGAACTTTTATTTCAGTATTGGTCACTCTCATAATCACCCTTTTTCTTTCAAACGAACAGTAGCCGCCGTTGTTTTATCATACTGCTCCGGCGGTAGGCATTTCTTGCCGCTGTCTGGAGTGGTCCTGATCGTCTCTGTTCATAGTTTGCAGATCTTCATCTCGCCTTCTCTATGATTTCAACGGTGTTGGTAAGAGGATATGGTTAATTAGTGTCTCAGGTCCACGCTTACTCACGTTGGATTAATATTCTTTTACTAATTCCTTTTGCGCCAAGCAAATACAAGTTTATGTGCGGTGTTCCTGGACTATTTGGTAGGGTTCCGAAGGCAGTGAAGTTAGCGGGCCTCGTCTTGTTCCGAAGGCTATTTGTTTCCTTTAAATTAGGCTGAGGTAATGCTGTTGATGCACTAGGAGGAGGTCCTTGCTTAGAAAGTGGGTGTCTTTGTCTCTAGCTGATTTGCTTGGGGTGTCTCTTTAGATTTGAAACTGTTTTCTGGTGCATTCTATATGTAGTTGGCTCCAGTAATTTTAAGAGCTGTAAATGTGAGATTCTAGATATTTGGCATTTGACTTCTATAAGAAAATAAAGTTATATTAGAATATCATAAATTTAAAAAAATGAACCATTCACATGAATTTTAAAGAGCAAGTACAAGGAAAAATATCTCATATAAAAATAAACCAACATTTATGACAAACTTTTTAAAGCATAAATTCTTTAACAAAAATTAAGCAAAAATTACAACATAACATAAAATCAACAACAAACAAACCATTTTTTGCAAGAGAAATCAGAAAAATAATTATTTGAAAAATATTTGAGAAGATGCGAAATGATTGAATGAAATGAATGGGTGAAAAATAAATGTGTTATATATTAAAAATTACTGTCCACATCCTTCTGAAAGTAAAGTAAAAGTTTTGAAAACGTAATCTTCGTGACCAAAATAAAATATTATAATAAATCGTTAATCAAATTTAATAAGTTTCAAAAACATTTATATACAAGTGATCAAACTTTCTTATATAACAACCATAATATAAATAGATAATTAATAGTACAATTATATAGTAGTAAAAAATTCATGTTAGAACATTAAATAAATTATGTGGCGGTTCTCAACTGACTAATATATCTATTATATAAAGTACAGTTGCATCACTCCTTAGAGTGTCCACGTCGTCTGCCACGTAGGTAAGTCCACGTTAGATCGAATTTTTATTTGGGCCCGTTGCATTGTAATTTCTGGGCTTTCCATCGACTCTTAGGGCAGCCTAACTTCTTTATCCGTTCATCTCAACCGACGTCATTACCCTAATCATTAACTAAATCACTCCCCCTACCACGATTTCTGTGGATCTCCGATAAAAAGGTATGTTTTCTACCCTCAAAATCACCAGTTCAAGTTTCTCAATCATAAGCTTTCCGGAAAATCCAGCAAAAAAATGGATCTCGTGTTCCTCTTCTCCCTTTCCAGTTTTCACATTTAGTTTCTGGAATTAACAGGAAGTTCGTAGCCACACACCGTTTTGATCGATTCTGTGTTGACCCAATTCACGGTTTTGATTTGATCTTGATCTGCGACAATGGTGTCGGCTGGAATCGACATGGACGAAGGAGCTCTCGAGATCAGAAGGGGTAAGTCTCCGATCATCGGATCACTTCTCTCTATACCGTTGTTGACTAATGGAACGCTTTTCTTTTTAACTTATTTTTGAAGATCTATGAATTTTGTGTATAGTACCTAACTGTCTCAGGTAACCTTGGTCATCCTTGAGAAAATGAAGGTATGTATACACATTTGTTAACGATAAGCTTTGTCATCAGTATTATTTAAATTATATATTTGCTATAAGAATGTTTATAATGTAACCGTAGGGTCCAAATTAAGTACCATGAGATTGTTAACATTCGCTTAGGTGATGCATCTATGAGACGTGGTAAGGTCTTGGAGGTTGATGGCGAGAAAGCTTTTGTCCAGGTTACTCTTGATTCAGTTCTACATTACACTTTAGGTGTACGATAGCAATTTAAGGCTGTACCAAATTAAAAGTAGCTTTTGAGTTTATCATTCCAATCTATGAAAGTGTGTATTATCGCCCAAATTAAAACTGATATGTTTCATGTCTTTCTTCTCCTCTTCGTTGTTTATAATTTTAAAAAATAAAAAAAAATCTCAAAGGTCACTAAAGGGTTTATGCGTGGGTGTATGCTAATGCCGTCAGTTTGATTGAATTCACAGCATATTTACCGAGAGAAGAAGGTGATCTGATCGTCCACTTTGCTCCATTTTACTTGCCTGATCTTCTTGCACCATCTGTGATTGATAGGACAGAAGAACCATGGTATGTAGATCAAGATAAGGGGAAAAAATGTTGAGGCTCTCTGGACTGCATTAGACCGGAAAACAAAGCAATAAACAGCTTTTAAGCTGACATATGAGATTCTTGGCGTCTAAGTGGAATGCCTTCTGATTCAAACCCATCCTCATTAGCATGCTTGCTTATCCGCAATGGTAATATTACCGATGAACCTGCAGTAACATAACAACAACAATCAGTTTCAGCTGCAAACACAGATGCATAGTAAGTCAAAAGCTTTCGCCCAAATTAACATATCGACTCTCTACCGATAGCGTCACCAAATTAAAAGTAGCTTTTGTGGAAGAATGTACAATGGAAGATAATAGCTTTTGAGTTTGTTGTTTAATTTCTTTAGATGTTTGATGTTCTCAATAACGGTTTCAGGTTTTTGAAGGAACATCTGGAATTGACAACAAATTTACCACCGTTCAATTCACTGGAGAGGTATTTACCTTGAAAGTAAGCCTTTCTGAGAAGAAAGGATTGCTTATAATGTTTTGTTTTCAGGTACTGAAAACACCTGTATCACAAGACATGCTTGGGCTCATCTTTAACGGCTCTGGAAAGCCGATTGATAATGGCCCTCCTATCTTTCCTGAGGCATACCTTGATATCCCTGGTAAGTAGGGTTATTAAATCTCAGTAGTCTTCTACTTAAACCGTTAACCATACGAGTCACCATAGCCATTCATATTGTTACCTAAGAGTGGAAATAGTAGTAAATCTTATCTCATGTTTTGGTTTTGTGGGGTTATGTTGTTGCAGTATAGCGTTACAAGAGGGGTTTGGAGGATGGATAAATGTTCTTGATTCTCTGTTTCAAATCACATTAGGAATAGCTGCAAGAGGTCTCATCTCCTTCCTTGGATAAGTGCCTTCGCTGTCCTCACATCCATATCAAATAAAATAGTGATTTTCTATGTCATGGGGACTATCTGTAAAATAAATATAATTATTCTAAACCCATCTTTGTACACAGTTGGTCTCTGTCATAAGAATACTTAAACTTGAACTGTTACGAGGTTTGAAAAAGAATATCAAGGACATACCTTTTATGATGAACATGGAAATAATGAATACTAAGAATTGCAACAAGGAGTAAGCAAAATAAAAGTTAATTGGATAAAACGTCTGAAACTATTTATAATCTAAATCATTTATAATTATTACTAATAAACAAACAAAATGAAATCTCTGCCTCTCTTATACAATTTTAAAAATCTCACATGAACTATAATTTGCAATTACTGCAGTCTTCATCCACAATAAGATTTAAATTATAAAATAAAATTAACAAAAATAAATTGGCTTATTTGTGAAATAGCCAAAAAGAGAAATTGGTTTTGTAGAGAGAAGGTAGAGAGATAGGAAGAGAAAAGATGTGAGAGAGTGTTGTTTTGGTTAGAGAGTGAATTTTGGATTTTTTTGATGTTATACCATGCAATTTTCCAAACTAAAATAAAAAGAAGCATAAAAAAATGATGATTTAAACATGTTTACTCTAAGATTTTGTTTTGGTTGATAGATGGTTGAGCTTTAACACAAATGCAAATACCTAAGTTTATAGATTGAGAGGCATTAGAGATGAAACAAATAAGATCAAAAGAGATGCCATGAAAAGGCTGGAATTTGAATTTCAAAAAAAAAATATCATGGTATTAATTATGTTAGCCGTTTTTAGTTAAAATGTATTTTTTGAGGTTTTCATTTTCAGAAAGCAATATTGGTAATAAGTAGCAATGGTATAAATATTTTTCCACAATAATATAATTAAATATTTAACATGGAAAATAGCAGATTTTTTTTTTTAAATGTTAATTCCTTTATAAGTATTTTCAAATTGTACCGAGTTATTTAGAACGTAAAGTAAATAATAAAATAAAATGATTTGATGTGGTAAATTGTGTTTTTAAAAAATGCTTTACTTCAATTGTTTTGATTAGCATACGACGATGTTATGCTAATACGACGGTGCTATGCTAACAACTGGTAGTATAACATCGCTATAGCTACGGTCAGGTTTTCGTAACATAATCACGCCTCTCAAGCCTGGGGAAAAAAACACAGTGTTGTGCTACAAATTGTGGTGCTGAAAAGGTAAAAACTGTAATGTCTGCTGTTTTTTTGTTCTCAAGGAGACCCACCGGATCCATGGCAGCCTCGGGGTGATGGATTTTTTGTTAGGGTTATCGGGTCGAGTGTTAATATTATTCATTTTTTTGGCAGAGTGTTAATGTTGATGAGTTGATTTTAAATTAACGATTTATTGTCATCTTTCAAACAAATACAAGTCGTTATGTCTACCAAGAAAAAAAAAACACCTCATCAATATTCATTAGTTTAGTCTATTTATTTATAGAACATATAAAATATAGTTTTCTCTTTTAACACCTTATCAAGAAGTTTTTTTGTAAAATTAACACCTGTGTCATAATTAATAAAATATTGGTAAATGGTTTACAATTTTACATCTTATTATTATTTAAACTATATATATTTCCAAAAAAATTAATAACTTCTACATCATTATAGTTATTATTTGATTTTTAATCCAACCAAAAAATTGACATTAATCTTTTTGTTAAAACTAATCATTTAATGAAAGTATATAATATAACTTAAAATAAATAAATTTATAATTATAATAAAGAAAATTTATGAGAAATAAGATAAATCAATTTACGCTACAAATCTTTATATTTCATTAGATTTATACCAACAAAAATAAAAATAATGAGTATAATGAGTGTCACAGATTTTTGTTCCTTTTTTACTAACAAATTTAAGATTAACCTGAAATTCAAAATGATATAAAAATAACTAATAATTAATACATAATGAAAATAATTTCAAAACAAAGAACTAATAATATATAAAAATAGATTAATTTAAAAGTAATGATTCTATGTAATATAACTTGAGTTGAATGAAAAGTTTTTTTCATGTGTTTAATAAAATATTTAATAGTTTAGTAAATATTACACAATACTGAAACAAATTTTAAATAAATAGAGAAGACTATAAGCTTGGAAAGGAGAAAAATCTATTATCATATTGTTTTCCTTTACGTTTCATCAAATCTAAGGAAAAAAGATTCACACACTAATTTTTTTTCTCTTTTTAGGTAAATAAAATCAAATTTAGAATAGTTATCAAAAAATGATTCAAACAATAAACAATGAGTACTAAATAACCAAACAATATTTTACAAAAAATAATTCGAGATGATAACCACAGTACACAACAATTCTACACATAAACACATAATGATAATCTATAACATACAAAATTTGGATAATAAAAATTTTGAAATTCGTAAGATAAAAACCAAATAATATCATTATTGTCTAATTAATTATATTTTATAATAAACTCTAATATTTATATATATAAGATACAACATCGACAATTAAAATTTAAACTTAAATAAAAAAACCCGGGCGTAACCCGGGCCGGCCCTAGTATTGATAGTAAATAAATGCCATGGTGTATTTAGTAAACATGATTTAACAGGGAGGTAACAAACTACATCCCCTATATATATATATATATATTAATTTATATATATTAATTGAGAAACATTTAAAAAGATGTAACCTTAAGTTTGTATTAACTAAAAAAAACATCATCCTACATGTCAACTCTCTATGTCTTTCAATTCAATTTAAAATGATTCTAGAACATCTTATGTAAACTATAGTCTAAAAATTATATTCTCTATCAATATAATACTTCGCAGGCTATAGTTGGTCGCATATATCAAATCCCCTATATATTAAAAGAGAAACATTACAACATTTTTTGTATCCACATGTCATCATCACAATCATTCTTAGAATCTATAAAAAAAATATGTTGCTCCATCTAAATATATAATAATCTTTTTATTAAACTAACATAAAATAATTATTAATGTTCTTCATTGTTTCCTTAAATAAAAACGGAATTGCCTAATGTGGCTAAAGTATATATATATGACAATTAATGATTTTAAATTAAAAATATTTGATAAATAATAATCTATTCTCTATCATTTAAAAAAAAATAACTTATTTAGAATAAATTAAACAACCATATTAAATATATAATAAAGTCTTAGATTTTTTCATATATGTTATATTTTGAGTTTTAAAAATGATTATAAATGAATAAAGTTGTTAAGAATTTCATATGGAAATTTTTGTGATCCATAGTTTAAAGTTTTTGTTATACAAAATACAAATGATTACAAAATTATATAAGTAGGAAGTCTCTTTTAATATATATATATATTGATTAAAATAAATTATGTACCACATAAAATACATAAGTATTTTAATTTCGAACTTTTCTTTGGTTTTTTTCCTAAAACTGTTGACCAAATATTGAAAACTTAATATTTAGTTTTTAAAATTTGCATGTAATGTTTTAAAAATTATAAATTACTAAAACTATTAAACATCCCATACAAAAAATTGTTATCAGTGATTCAAATTTTTTTGTTATAAAAAATACAAATGATCAAAAACCAATATGAGTACAAAATATTATGTAACAGATATCAATATTAAAAGTGAAATATATAAATATCACTTTCTTTAAACTTAATTTTTTTACCATATAATACATAAAAAGTGTTTGTTTGAATTAATAAAATTTGTGTATGTGTTTGCACTAATTTAATCATATATGCAGTAGTTACTAAATTTTTAATTGTTTAGTATATTTATTATTTTATAATATGTAAAAGTAATTTATATATAATATTTATCCCACGGTAGGCGTGGGTCTTAACCTAGTATTTATTGTTTCACAGACTTTCTTTAAATAAAACCTACGGAATTACCTAATTTGATTAATATATATATGTAAATTAATTATTTTAAACAATAAAGATTTGATAATTGTCTGTATACTTTTTAGCATTTTATTTATTTAATTATTATTAAAATAAAATACACAATTACATTGATCATATAATAAAAATCTATTTTTATTTGTGTATGTTGTATTTTGAATTTTTCAAAGCGAGTATAAATTACTAAAACTGTTAAAAGTCTCACATAAACTTTTATGATCAATGTTTAATTTCTTATATATATATATTAAGATACAATTATTATAAGACTATTTGAAAAATTAATTTTATTTTAATAGGTTTTATGTTAATATATATACATATATATATATATATATATATATATATATATTCTATCATTTAAATTAAACTATATTTTGTATGAAAATACATACTTATATTTTAATATTTACATTGAACATATATTGAAAATTTAATATTTTAATTTTAAAATCTGTCGTTTTTTTTAAAAAAATGATTATAAATTATTGACACTACTAAATCTCACATTAAAAAAAATTTGTTGGTGTAAAATTTTGTTACACAAATATAAAATAATGAAAAAATCATTTGAGTAGAAACTTCATTTAATAGATATCCATATTAAAAGTGTGCTATATATTTATATTAATATTATTTAAATCTAATTATAAATCATATACGATAGATAAAATTATTTATTTTGATTATTTACCCTAATTGCGAATAAACAAAAGTGATCATTAGATTTATATGCACACGCCTATTTATTACATAATAGTAACAGATTTCTTAGTTATTGAATATATATATACTTATTATTTTATTATTTCATAATACACAGAAAAATATAAAATAAGTAATAAATATAAAATACTTATTCTGCAAAAAAGTGCAGATCTTAACCTAAGTATGTATATCTTAAGCAATTTCTAAATCTCAGGCCAAAACACAAAAAAAAAACGAAATGAGAATAAACTTCAAAATCAATATTTATATCTAGCAATAACCAAAATGAAAAAAAGACACAAAAATAGAAAAAATATTGAAGATATATATGATTGGCACGTGAACGTAAACTTTTCATAATAATAATAATTTTTAAATTGCCAAATCATGATATAAAACCGAGCTGACATAGTTTCATTATAACCAAATAGACCCAAGATTTTTCAACATAAACGTTAGGTTCTTTTCATTAAGTGATATTTTAACCTAAAACATTTTTAAAAATGAGATCAGCTCATCAGTAAACAAATTATGTAATTAACAAAAAATTAAAAGAATTGTTTAAAGACCAAAATATTAATTTAATCAATAATATATATTTATTTTAAAGTAATTTTTATATAAGTTTATAGGTAAATTGCACACCGTAATACATAATCACATATCATATATTAAACTTTTTACCAGTAATGGTAATGTACCATCCACAATTAACATACATGATTATTTTCACTCTCAAACTTCCCGTAATAACCTGTAAAACATCAATCACATATAGTCAATAATACACTAGTCGTATAAAATAACAAAGATTTAGGACAGATTCTACTTTTATAGTAGCGCTAACAAAACATACTTATCATTATTAATCGATAAAAATATTATGGGAATGCAGTAGAACCCTTGAATTTTCAAAATTAATAACTTTTATCAAACATGTTTTGTTAGCGTTACTCTAAAATTAGAAGCTAGTCCTAATTATTTGTTATTTTATGAAGTGTCTATAAGTAACTATTTTGGGTTTTTGTTATTTAGTTTTTTTTTTTCTGACAAAGGGTTTTTGTTATTTAGTTACTGAATAGAAAGATAAACAACCTAGTTTTTTTTTTTTTTTTCTGGTTTAATGAGGATAAAATCAAAATCCCAAAATAGTCACAAAACTCTTGTTTTTCTAGGCTTACAAAAGGGAGAACACCAAAAAAAAAATCAGAAGAGAGATCTAATAGATACCAAAACAACAATATAAGAAAAAGTAGAATGTCGCTTTCTGGTTATAGCTTCGTCATATTAACATTATTATTCTCCATCATCTTAACTCAAATATATGGTTTGGGACGAGTAGACCCAATGGATGATCTCAAACCAGAAGAAACGCTAGCGGTTCACAATCAGATTCGAGCTGACGTAGGGGTGGCTCCATTAGTGTGGGACGATAAACTAGCTGCCTACGCACAAAACTACGCTAATGTACGATCCAAAGACTGCGCCATGAAGCATTCCACAGACGGAATGTACGGCGAGAACCTAGCTGCAGGGTGGGTACAACCTCTGGACACAATGAGCGGTCCGATTGCGACTAAGTTTTGGTTGACGGAGAAGCCTAATTACAATTATGACACCAACAAATGTAGTGGTGTGTGTGGGCATTACACCCAGATTGTGGCTAATCAATCGCAACGACTCGGTTGTGGTACGGTCAGGTGTCATAACAATGAGTATGTTTGGGTCGTATGTAACTATGCTCCTAGGCCAATGGGTGATGCGAACACACGTCCATATTAATAAAACTTTTGTTTTTGAAAGAAGACAAGTATTATGATGTGTGATTCATATACTGGAGAGTGCGCATTCGAGTTGTTGAAAAGATCATCTTCAACGTGTATATATATATATACACTTGCATAATAAATCATCGTAATCATTTTCTTGTGTTTATATTTTATAAAACTAATTCAAAAATTTAGTATCATATTGAATTTGTAAGTTACTTCTTTTTTTTTCAGCAACGTGTGATTTTGGAATTAAAAATAATACATTAAGAATAGTAGCAGAAACCATTAAGTAGAAATCTCACTAATGCACTAAAACAATTGTGAAAATAATAATCAATTTACCAAAGGCACTCGAGGAAATTCAGAATAACTATACAAAAACAAATGAAAAATTTATGGAAGCAACTAGAAAATTAAAAAAGAGACTTATCGAGATGAAAAACTTTATTGGTAACAAAAACACATAAATATGTGGGTATCAAAACAGTGATAGAACACAAATTCTATCAACCATTTTTTTAACTCATAACAATATTTCATTAACCAACATTTTCTCCAATCATACATGTATCAGTCCTTACATGAAATTTCAACCACACTGGCTCCAGAAAATATAACTTAGGACATTAGACATAAAATTAAAAGTCTCTTTTGTTATCATGTCTGCATCCTTATTACCTCTTCTTGGATAAAACCTAATTTCATACTCCCCAACCTGTGATAAAATATTAGAAAGGGCATGGATCGTTGGCTTAACAATAAATTAGCCAGACTGATTCTTTTATGTATACCATTTTGGTGAGAATCAGCGAATCAGTTTCAAAGATAAATCTTGTGTAGCTCAGCTTCACCATGGTTTCTAATGCCCATTTCAAAGCTTCAGCTTCTGTCTCAAAGCTTGACCTCAATTTTGGAACGGTCATTGCTCTTGCTTATAACATATTCCTTTTTTTTTATCTCAATAGATCCAACCAAGCCCACTGCTGTCTCTGTTCTTATGCCAAGCGCCATCAGAGTTAATATTTTATCTAGTTTACTTGCGGAGGTTTTCACACACGTTGTATGTGGAAACGAATCAAAGAAACAAAGACGCATTCCAAATAAAATTATAAGCCTACATACATCAGAATCAGAAGAGGAAGGGGTGGCGATGGATTATTTCATTGATTTATTCAAATTGACACCCCCTTCTAGTTTTGAGGTTTTCTTTAGAGAAGATACCAAATTTGATTACAAAAGATCAGAACAATATGCTTCTCAAATGCAGTAAAAAAGAGGTCTGATCGGCTTTATTTACGATGTATCCACAACTGATAATACATTATATCTACAATAGATAATTATCTTCGCAACACATTTTAGCAATAATATTAAATCTCTTATAAACTTTGCATATAAATATTGTGAATCAAGAGAGAAAGAGGGAATCAGTTGTTGTTCTTATTCCATAGATAATAAATCCCTTATATAAGGGTACAATAGAAAGATTGATTCTTATCTAATGATCTAGAAATACCTAAAAAATTCTAGAGATAAACCTTATAATGATTATCCATAACACTCCTTCTTGGATGTCTATTATGTTAAAATAGTTTTTAATACGCTTTTAGACATTGCTTCATTAAAAACATTATAAAGAAAACCCAGTGAAAAAACCATAGTTAAGGAAAAAAGTGCAACACGTATTACTCCTTCTCATTAGAACATAATGTGAAGTATCTGGTAGGACACAATCTAATGTGATGAATTAAACTTCTTACTCTTGGGCTTGGACTGGTTCATTTCTCTTGGCAGATTTTGACACTCCTCACTGAAACTTGAATATCTTGATGACCATAGGACAAAATGACTTCAAACCACTTGGAAATCAAAGCGAACATCCATGCCTAACTTTAGACACCTGTCTAGCTCTGATAATAAGGAAATATTGAGAAATATTTGGATTTTGGGATATCAATCAAAATTAGATATTCTAAGACAGATTGTATATGTCTCAAGAAAACAACCATATCTTTAGTTTTATCATCAAGAATGACTTGATTCAAACCGGAGATGAAAGTAGACTCAAAGATCTTTCTCTGAACCCCAAGTTTGTATTTTAATTCCATATAGAAGGTCTCCTTTGATTGGAAAAATTTTGACTTTCAATTTGTCTTATGAATAGAATGTGTTCATGATCTTAATCTTCTACTTCTCTCAAGCTCATTGATAGATCTTCACCACTTAAGTAATAACTTTATTTTTTAGGTATCTCTCATTTGCGCGTTCTTTGTTGCCTCATTAACATCTTTACATGAAAAATTCAATGGGACCAAAAACCATAATAAGGTAAAAGAGTACAACCACACACATCATCATATTCTCCCCTGGAAACATCATCTTCAGGAAATGTATTCTCATCATATATATCATCCTTTTAGAAAATTTATATTAGCATATTCTTAGTGAATAAACTCGTTTGATTGTCAAATAATCTCTTAGATCATTGGAATTATGGTACATAGTATCTTTTTCACATAAAATATCATTTCTTGGTAACTTTGGAAGCCGTGTCCAAATTTCCTTTATAGACAATCTTGTAAACATTCATCTTGTACATACGAGTTATTTTCCCTCTTATTATATAATTTACCTGTATGACCATTTTTCTTGTCATACAAAACCACATCTTCCAATCACGAAAGAGATCAGAAATTGCAAAATAACATGGCACTTCATGAGTATAATTATTTCCTTTATATGTTTAAAATACTTGTGCAATAATGTTCTGGAGAACTAGCACTTACAGATTTTAACAACTCAAATCATTATGGGCTTTACTGCTTCTTGCAGTTTACATTCATTTCACATGATTGTCATTTTCCAGTGACTTTTAATTCTTGTCAGACTAAAAAACTTGAAAATTTATGCTTCCACCACATGATAATGTGTTTCTTTAATAATTCCAAGTCTTTGTGAGAACCCTTGTGCAACTATTCCTTTGCATCTCATAGTTTTTCATCATATCATTCATTCTTTCACATAAAGATCAATTTATGTGCCATTGGTTTTACACCATTAGGTGTACAAACTACTATTCCGAATACTCCCTTCTTTCCAAGAGATTAAATCTCGAATTTTTTACTCCCTCATACACTTCACTACTTTGAAATTGCATTCTAAGAAGCATCCAACAAGTGACACACTTTCAAGCAAGTGAAAGTTATATATTCCCTCTTTCCATAGAAAAAAAACAAACCAAACCATCATACATGAAAAACTAAACCATCATATCGTTTCTATAGATACCGGTTTAATTTATGTACCAAACCCATTTTTTATCAACTCCCAACATTGATATCAAATTCAAAGTTAAAAACCTCTCGTCAAGTTCTTTTTACGGCGCGATTCTCAAAAATCCTAGATCCCCTTTCACAAATCGTTCTTCACACCCATGCCATTAATCTGTCTCCTCTCCTCTTCTATAACCCGGATCTGACTTAATTGATGGAATAAACAAGGTCTAGTGCTTCTGGTGACTCATCTTTCATCTTCACCACTTGTTGTTAGGTCTTTTTGTGGTGAACCTCCAAAGGAGATTCTGGGTTTTGGTGATTCATTGGTGTCGACGGCGGCGAGATTAGTTAGAGGACGACGGAGACGCGCTGGAGATGATAAAAATCATTTACGGGATCTAGGATTTCTGTTACAACTGTTGGGAGGAGTTCCGGTGATGGCCGGTGAGACTAGAAAGATGGTGGTTCCTCTGGTATTATTCCTCTCTTGAATTTGGAGTCCTTTTTGGGTGGTGACTATGGTGGATGTATATGAATTTCTAGGGTTTTTTATTGGTGAAGATAATAGCTGCAGTGGAATTGATTAGGGGTGGATGAGGGTTCGGAGGATGGTTGTCTGAAGATGTCATGTTTGTGGACATGGAAGTTATGAATGGACGAGGTGTGAAAAGTGGAGGTGTTATGGACATAGGAGCTATGGATGGATGAGGTGTGAAAAGAGAAGTTGTGGATGGATACGATATGAAATGATGAGTTGTGGACATGGGATTTGAGTATATGAGATCCAGATTTGATGGCTAAGAAGAAGACAAAACAATCAATAAATCTATAAACTAAATGTTGACAGCGAAACAAATTAACCAAACCAATAAACTGAACCGGTTTCAGTCTGGGAAACACATGTGCTCGTTCACAAGGGTGAGGGTTAATATTGTCTTCCTTATCACTAAAGATAAAATAAAGTAGATAGAAAGTGTCTAACATATGCATTGTACCTTATTGTGTAAGACACACACAAAATATGTCTTATAGTGTAACAAACTCTTTAATCTCACATCTATTATTTATTTTGATCTTCACCAATCATTTCTTTGTGTATACTTTTCAATAGATGGTTTATGATCCTCATTTTCATCAACTGCTACATTGCATGCATAAGAATTTACGACGTCGATTTGGTATCGGTTCCATATTGTTTAAGACATGACATAGCTGTTTGAGATTTTTGTATTCTCAAGTACCGGAATTTCTTTTTGCCGTGTTTTCTATCTCTTTTTGAGATCCTTAATATTTCATGCTCCTTTTCTTTGATGAGGTTTATTATATTTGAAATCGATAGGTCTATCACGCTTCACGCGCTCTTTAGACTCATTAGCAGTTTGATATTGTCCTTTTGGGACATCTATTTTAACTAGAGTATTTATAGCTGGTACTTGTGACTCAAATCACTTTTTTAGAGTCAGTAAATGAGTCTGGGAACTCATATGCTAATATATGTAATAGAATTATCTACATACATTCATGCTCTTTAGTCTGAGGATCATCGATAATTCATTCAATTTATTCATTGTCTAGATGTTTATCTTCTCTCCCTAATGTTGGATAGACTAACTTTGAGTCTTTCAACGAATCTTATAAAATATTTCAGATTTTAACATCAATGAAGATCATATCCAACATACTCATAACCTCCTTTGATCATGTATTATACTTTAGATTCTTTTCAACCTTTTTAGACTTGAAAAAGTATAACGCATTGATGATTTCACAGTATGTTCCCATAGGCAATCACAATTTGCTATTTTAGAGCTTTCAATATCTTTATACTACCACACATTATACTTACACTAGTTTTCTTTCATCTTTGGATGTTATATATATTATTTAATTATTACCATCTTTAGATCATCTTAAAGTGATAATATATTTTTTGAAAGAAACTCATTGGACTCTATTTTGACCATATCCACATTAACGCCTATGACTACTTTTGTAGCCATTTCCACAGACAATAATGTGGTCTTTCCTTTCTCAATATATAATACCATATCTTTTTCAGGAAAAAGACATATCAAGCAGACATGATTTTTCTCAATAATCATAATTTTTTAATTGTTTTCCAAAATTTATGGATATTTTAAAGTTAAGTCTTAAATTTAAAACTCAGATATTCAATGGTAATAAAATATAATCACAAAATTATTTCAAAAATTAGAGGTATACATTATCTTAAATATTTTATTATATTAAAAAAATAAATAATATTTCTATAGTACTTTTTTTATTCATTAGATTTTTTTATTATGCCAATAATCATCTCTATGTCAACTAGTTTTCAATTAAGCATTCTAATAAAAATAAGATGACATTCTCAAACTCATTTATCTTATCAAACTTTAGTTGATTATAAATTTATGTTAAGCATAAAAATAAATAATACTTATCTCGTTAAAGAAGAAGTGAAACGGAAACCAGAGATATGAAATGAAGTTTGTATTTAAAACATTTTTCTCAGTTCTCTAGAATCACGTGCAAAACAATATGTATAAACCTGAGATATTCATAGTCTTGCTCATGAACATGGCACCTTATACGTTAGACATCAAAACTATCAAGTCCATATAATTAAACTTGTATAGAGAATAACA